GATTTTTTTTTTTTTTTTTTTTTTTAGAATGGCACAATCTCAGAAGAGGAGAGAGATGTCTATGAAGAACTTCTGACACAAGCAGAGATTCAAGGCAATATCAATAAGATAAACAGTAAGCCATTCTGGGCCATTCTGGATCCTTATGAAGTGTGGATGTACAACATACCAAACATTTTCCAAATTTTCCAAGCTTAGGCTGACTTGAATTTCACAGGAATAAGTAAAATTTCTGTGGAAAACTGTAACACATACCTAAGCAGTTAATGTCTGTCGACAAGAGTGTTTTTTTCTTGCTGCTCCTTCTTTGCTAATCTTTGGGGGACTACTGTCTGTGTTTTTTGCTGAAAGGACTCCTCAGTTCAGGATCAAATCTTCTTTGCCTGCTTTGTTTCCTTATGTTCATGTTGTGTGCAGAAGTCTGTAAATTTTGACCCCCTCTTCTATTTAGAACCAAAAATAATTCATAAGCTTACATTCATTAACACTATCTGTGGGTGAACTGCTCCCACGTGAGCTCATACTGAGCTAGAAACTCCCTTTAGTAGAATTAGTCTTGAAATGCAATCCTCTGCTGGATAAAACCCTCTAGCCTTTACAAGAAGTGAGATGCTGACAGCGGTGGATTATTTTTCACAAAGCCTACTTGCCGTTTGTAAGCATTGTTTTCATTTCAGTTCACATAGCTTTAGTCCAAGTGAATGAGGCTATTGACCGGCAAGATGAAGTGGCGCTGATGGCAGGTTTGAACCGTCCTGCTCTGAGCCTACTTGAAGTTCTGCCGCAAAATTCCTCATGGTACCTAATGCAATTGTGTGATTCTAAAGAACAGAAAATGCAGGTAATTGAATGGTACTGCCCTAGCATGTCAGTCTGATTTTTTTTTCCGTTGATTTAATCAAGATACTCTGTATTCAGCATCACTTATGGAACAATTTTCTAACAAATTAAAAATGACCAATTTACTAATCAACGCCAAGCTAATTGCATTTGCAGTAAAAAGCATGATGCACTCATTAAAGTTATTAATTAAGATTTTTTAAAAACTTGTTTTTTAAACTTGAGTACAACAAAAAGATGTTATTGAAGCAGTAACACTGGAGGAAGAGTATTGGAACAATTGAATTTTTAGTAGAAAATTCATCATTTCTAGTAAGACAAAAATAAAAATTTTGTGGGGGAAAAATAATGCTGTGTTTAAATGTGCCTTTGCTTTTGACATTTGGCCAATGCTGTGCCCAAATTTTAGCATTCCACCAGAGCATTTTACCCCTCTTCCTCCAATATACTTAAAAGTATAATTGAATCTTTTTTCTGATCTGTTAGATAGCAGGGCTTCCAAACATGCTCGACAAAAGTGAAATACAGAAAGAAGTTAGTGTTGCCAATGCGGAAGCTGAGGCTCACAAGCTTAGTGAGTAACTGTCTTAATATTCATTTTTACTATCCCAGTTTAATTTGTTAATTAAGATGATTAATTGAACCTGCAATTCCTTGCATGTAAACAGAGTTTCTGAAACTGTATGAATTGCATTTGATTTTTGTTACTGTTCTCAGTGTCACAATTGCCAAGTCACCAATCTGTGCTGCGTTGGATATATTCTTTTATCTGAGGTAGCTAGCACTTTTTTATTTGAATAATTTTGGCTACTGATAAACACATTGGCTAATACTGAGCACAATGCATGGCTTGATGGCTTGAACAAATACTTATCTGTGCAGTGCTAAGTCCCACTTGGGAGCAACCACAAAAATATTTTGCATTCACATAGCAGAGGAAAATTATTCTCACTTCTAGATACACATCTAAACTGTTCTTAGCCTGATAAAGTCATAGTACAAATGCTCAAACACTAAAGTTAGCATACAAAAATATGGTTAAGGGGATCTAAATTTGCAGTGCATGTCCTGGCAGTTGCTGCTTTTGACTGGAAACTTCTTTGCTAGGACATTCAGCTTTGGTTAAACTGCTGTCATTTCATGCTACATCTGGCATGGCTTAATGGCTGTTGTCTCTGGCATTATTTTCAGTGCTTTGGATCCAGGCTGATTGCTTTTGTAATATGTCTTAACAGTAGTACTGTGAGGCAAGCTTAAGCCAGAAGATAAGCTTGACTTGAAGTATCAAATGTTAGTCTAGGATAGGCATGGTGTGCAAGATATTCCTGTGGAAGAATTTCTCCTTCGTAAAGGAAATGGGAAAGAAAACGGTCACATAGTAAGTAATTTGGAAAAGGATTTACTAATTTCTTATGATTAGCTAAAAAGGAAGAGATAGCATTTGTTATTGGAGGGTGAGGAATTGGTTTGAGCTTGGTTTGCAAGTTGCATGCAAGTTAAGTTGGAAGTCAGTGACTTAGCTACTGACTCCACAGTTTAGTTCTGTTATCTTCTCTTTCCTCTTCTCTAAGAAAGCATGCATGCAGTAGCTCCGAGACCCTTCTGCTTTCTCTAACCTCAAGAATAGCAAAAAAGAGAGCCATCAAGAACAACATATGACCATGCTTCAGAACAACTGTAATAAAAGCTTATTTAGATGGACCTCGTTACTTAGGCTTTCGAAGTTTGCATGTTGTATAATACTGAGTGTTGCTGCATATGCAAAATGTGGATGGTGTCTGCTGTACAAGCAGTCTCATACAGGCTTCAGCAGTTAGTAGTGGCTAAAAACATGTTCTAGATAAAAGTAAAGCTATAAGATAAGGTGGAGGAGATAAGAGGTATTTTGCTGATGGAAACAACACATAATTGTCATTCTTTATTCTGTTGTATGTGCTCTAACCTTCAAGGTTCTTTCCCTTTGCACAAGACTGAAGTAGTATCTTAATGCAACTTGTTGCTGGGTGCGTCCTGGGCAGGGCTTCTCCGGTATTGGCTCCACCAGCTGCACAATTACAGAAGCTGTGACTAAGCTAAGGGTTTCTGTCTAGGTGCAAAGCCTTCAGCATTTTCTGCTGGGCTTCAAAGGTTTACTGAAGTCAGTCCGGCAGAGAGCAAAACAAACTGTTTGCACTGAGAAGGTAATATTTGTACTTGATGGTTTGTCCTCAGTGGTGGTCTGCTTAATATGAAGTCTGAGCTGTGGAGAATGGGATGATTTCTAGATGGTTGTACTTCAGGACTGAGGTTTCAGGTGTTTCAAGGTTCATTGCCTAACTAAAGAGAAATTAAGGAAAGTTGTAGCAGGTGTGTTTTCTTCAGTTCAGCTACAAACTAGCTAACTCCAGACTACAACTCTAACTCTCCTGATCCTTGACTGATTTTTACAAGGCCTCCCAAAACCCAGACAGTAAAAATGTCATTGGCATTGCAGGCTAGACTTGTTCTAGATTGCTGAGTTAGGTCCTGCTCAAGGGAGAGAAGAGGGAGGAAACAACCTAGATGAGAGGGAATATTTGAGGTGAAGTGACACTGGGTCACTTAAGCTGACATGCCAAGCATTACTGTCATAAGCAAATAGAAGAGAAACATTATATACCTTTTTTAGTGGGAGACATGAGGTCATTGTTTGGGATTAAAGATACAATATAGACACAAGGTTGTCTATAATACCTAAAAATCAAGAAATTTTAATTTTAAATTGTCCTCTAGCTTTTTTGTACTTCATACTTCTGAACAGACATTTTTGCAACCTTTGACAGATTGGGTCTTGAAGAACCTTATTTGTGTACCTTTAATTTTGCCAATGACAGCAAATGATGTTTCTGGATAACATAATTATCCTCTGCATGACATAAAAGAACAAATGGCATGTGAAAATTAATAGGCTTTTCTTTCCCTGCTGTTCTCTAGAACTTATAGCAGTTGACAATATCAATTCTGCAATTCGTAACTGTGATCCTAGTAAAACGCTGGTTGCACTGATGAAACCGGAGGCCCAGTTGCCTGTTGTTCACTCATTTGCTGCTGCTGTCTATCAAACTGAGCTGTTCAACCTTCAACAACAGAATGCTGTGGTAAGAGTGAAAAAGCTTGTGACCTGCTCTGATGTTGCGTAGTCAGGCCATGACAGCACAAACATAGCATGTTGTCATGTGAAATATCTCAACTCTTGCCATGGTTATGCATTGCATGACTATTTTTGATAGAATAAGCAATTATTCTCATAGAATAAGCTGTTACAGCAGTTGTTTCTTGACACACTTTTCTGAGTTCCTGTGTTGCAACAAATTGGCAGACCTTTTTTGGGCTGTTGCGTGCTCTTATTCAGAGGACTAATGCTGTTTTATGTGTTGTGTAGAAAATAACATCCTGACAAAAGGGGAAAGTTAGAATGTATGGGACTGGGGAAAAAAGGCTGATAACACTGTGTAGCAAATTGAGTAAGCTCTACCCACAGTGGTGTGATAATGTGACACTACTGTGGTTAGGAAGCTGGCTTCACACTTGACATTTCTTAAATCAAGTCTTATCTCCTTGGTGGTACCTGGATTGTGTAACTCAAATGTGTTACACTGCTTGTTTAGCTTCCTGACTGAGGCACATTATTGTCCTACAGAATTACCTGGCACATGATGAACTCTCTATTGCTGTGGAAATGTTATCAGCCGTTGTGTTGTTAAACTAGGCCTCGGAAAATAAGGACATCCTAACAGTAAAGAATCACCTCAGAAATCCATGTATTGGCTTCAATAATCTGGAAGAAGAAAACTTTCAACGGTAAAAGTTATTTTGTCTTGTCTGGATGAGATTTGGCAACTTCTGCAAAAGGATAAGTAGGCATTTTACTAGGAACACTGTCCTTTGTGGTTGTCAAGTTAAAAGAATAAACATCTGTCCAATATGTTAGAAAATTGACAATTGTCAAACTTAGTTGCATCTGTAAATACAAGCAATCACATGGCCTCAGATCTTTGAGGACAGAGGAATATGTGAGGTGGAGGAAAGAGGTTTTGGGGAACCAAACTTTAAGATCTGACAAGAATTTTTGCAGGCACTAGTACATGAACTGTAGCTGGAAACTGTTAATCAGTAACCTGTAATACTGAAAGATCTTTGGAATGAGATCGTGTGCTTAGTGCCTGGAGAGGTCCAGGAGGCCCCTTAAAGCAAGGCAAAACCCTTCTTGCTTAAGAGCTGCAAAAGTCTGAAGGAATGGTGCCCAGTCCTCCCTGCTTACTAGCTAGGCACGATGCTGCGGCATATGTGCGTGTTCAGTGCTAAACTGAAGCCTTTGCTGTGAGGCCACCCTCTGCTGTCCTGGCCACATGTCTGACACGTCGCAGGCAGCCGCTCCCTGTGCGCTCCGCTTCTCCTGCGCTGCCCCCTGCAAGCGGAGCCGTGAGGTGCGTGTGGAAGTGCAGGGGCATGTGGGCCAGGCCGGCACCCCTAGAACGGCAGGCTAGATGCTGAAGCCCTCTCCTAGCTGCTGAGGGTTATTGGACTAGGAGGGCCACCCCTAAAATGTCTCAGAGCTCAAGGGAGAGCAGTAATTATAGGAATAGGTCAGTGTTTTGGACAGAGGGAGGCTTCCTTCCTGCCAAAAGGCAAAAAACAGGTACAGAACAGCTATAGCAGAGCCTTTGTCTCTGCTGATGTAAGGCTGGGACCTGTGAGCAGGGAGGAAAAAAATGCATGCACAAAAGTGGGGTCCATCATAGCTAGTGCAGGGTTTGACTGGTGTCACTGTGCTTTGATCCCTGAACACAGCTGTAGGCCAGTGCAAAAGGGATGTTAGGAATCAATCAGGGCAGATAATAAATTAAAACTTAATGCCATTGTGTAAATCCATGCTGCTACCTACATGATGAATACTATAGGAAGCTTTTGTTGTGTCCTGCCCAAAGGAAAAGTAGAGCAAGCAAAAGCTCAGTGAAAGAAATGAAATGTTTGATGGTTTTCTACCACAAGAGATGAAGTAACAATAGCACTGTCATTCCTAGAAAATAAAACCTCAGAGGAAAGACAATAGATCTGCTAAACTGTGCTTAATATGGGGAAGATAAATAAGAGCTCCTAGTTTCTCTTCTGACTTTAGTCATTTTCTAATGAGACTTGGAGTGACAAGAGATGCTAACTTTCAAATATCAAGTTAAGCTACTTAGGAGCACAGTGTGTGACTATGAAATGCCTGGTGATAGATGCAGCCTGCATCCTGATCCACATACATCTCTGTGGACCAAGTTGAGGTAGAAAAATTCTTCTATTCCTAATGATTTCCCACAGGAGAAGGACATAAAGTAGACATAAATGCCAGTGCTTTTCTCCCTAGTTCCCCGTGGAGAGTCAGGAAGAGCAAAAGTCACAGGAAAAGCCCTGTGTGAGCAGATGTGTCCAAAATAGCTTTGTCAAGAGCTAAAATGCTTATCAGGCACCACTGAGCCTCTGTTATTGAAGCTGCTTTGGCCGCTAGGTCAAACAATATTAATTTCCTTTCTTAAGTTGTCTCCTGAGTCTGCAGTCAATGTTTAAAACTTCCAGAGTTTAAACAACTGCACGGGGTAATGAGATTTAAGGATGTTGTATATGAGTAATCTTAAGTCCTAATCAAATATTTCATGGCACTTTTGAGGCGAACTCTCAACAGAATCCAAGGAATCAGCTGTCAACGTGGTGGAGTCACCCTGGACCATAGTAGTGTCCTTAAATAATCATACCACTCTTTTTAAAGAAGTCACTCTTGTTTGCATGATAGACTGCAACTTCTTGGACTGATACATTGCCTTTCCTCCAGGTTGCAAGGAACAATGCTTTGATTTAGAGAAATGGGCCATTTTTTTAGCTCCTGAAATGCATGTGTAGAACAAATACAGCAGCTTGCATGTTTATATGACTTCTGGCAGAAGAAGAATTTTTATGTGAAATTTATTGAGCAAAATGATATACCCTAAATGATAGGCAGTACCTCTGATTGACTCTTTATATGACTTCCTGTATATGAAATACATTTATGTATTTTATATCTTCTTGTAGTTATGCTGATACACTATTGTCTATTAAGTCAGAGGCTTCATCTCAAGGCCAAGATTATTTAAGCTGGAATGATATCCAGAACTGCATTGACATGGTTAATATGCAAATTCAAGAAGAAAATGAAAGTAAGTAACTCTTTCTCTACCTTACAGGCAGAGATGACAGTCTGATCCATAGCGTATACATTTCTGTGCTGAATGGTCTTGTACAGATCAAGAAAAAAAGAGTATGAAATCATTTCAAATACCTGCCAGTTTTTAAATTTTCTTGAAGTGCTCCTAGCTATCTTTTTCTCTGGCTGAAGGATGTCGCAGGATGCCAGCTTCCAATGACATGGTCAGTGCAATGGTACTCTGCATGTGGCAGCAGTGCAAATATCCTTCAGTATTTGTGCTGAACCACAGGATCACAGACTAGTTGAGGTTGGAAGGGACCTCTGCAGATCTAGTAGTTCTAGATCTACAATGATGGCTCAAGGTCATCTGGAGCCTGTTGCACAGATTGTGTCCATGCAGACTTTGAATATCTCCAGAGAAGGAGACTCTACAAACTCTCTGGGTGTTCTGGCATCCTCACAGTCAAGCATTTTTTTCCTCAAATTCAGATGGATGGTCTTAGAGTGGGGATTTTGCTGAATTTGCAAGCACAATATATCAGGAGGGAGGGACAAAAATTTCTGGCAGTGTCCTGGGTAAAAGCAGTTCTTGTCTTTAACTATTTCCAAGCCCATGTTTTCAGCAAGAGAGCTGGTAGGAAGCTGTGCAGTGCAGCTACTCTTACTGTTCATTTTAAGTTATTTCCTGTCTACAGAGGAGTCCCTGTGCCATTCTTTTCAATAGGAATGGTTTCTGAGATTTTCTAAACTTATGTTTGATGCTGAAAGTGCAGAACTTAAGCATCCAGCCTAGGCCGGGGGATCAGCAGAGTGGCTGCAGTGGGGTTCAGTGATGCCTCCCCCCACACTGTGGGGGACAGGATGGATGGAAGGAGACGCTGTTCCCCCAGAGGAGCTGGTTCTAAGCACTTGTGAGGTCACATGTGTGACCGCACCGGTGGCACCAGGGTTGGTGCTGGCAGGGATGCCGTCGGTCTCAGGTGAGGGTGGAGCTCTCGCTCCAACTCACTGCCCACTCTGTCGTAGCTCTTGAGAGCTGGGATCTGGTGCAGAGCACTTTGATGCTCTTCGCATGGGGAAGATGTTGCGGTTTTAAAATGATGGTAGCTGTTGTCACAGTTGAACAAGGTTGGATGGGGGTATTAAGTGATGCCAAGTGCCAGTGGTCTGAAAACTCAAGGGATTTGCCCAAAGGCAAACACCTTTGTCTCAGTTAGCTAAGGTAGAATCTAAAGCGACGAGGTTAAGCTGGTATGTCATGCCATCATTCAGAGATCACGAGATGCATGTTTGTGCAGATGAGGGTTCCACGTAATCAGGTCTGAAATCACCCCAAATGAACCTTTCAACGCTGTAAATCAACTTGTAGTTGCACATCTTTACACACAGCCTCATGCCTTATATTAAGGCTCATATGGATTCTCCTGTCTTGCTTGTAAAAGTCCGTTTTCTTTTGACTAGGATAAATGTGGGTTTTAGGAGAAGGCAAGTTCAACTGACTAGGTAAGGAAAGGAGCAAGGAAAAACTGTCCAACTTAATAGCTTCATGTGAATATTTGCTCAAAGATCTTTAGCTGCTGTTGCTGCCTCTGCTTTCATGTTACTTGATTTTTTTCCTGTCTGCTGCTGCTATATGTTTGTATTTCCCATGTCATGAGCTGTATTTTTCTTGGATAACTACATTTTTATAACTTTTTCATTTCATAGGAATTATTGCCATTGGTCACATTAATGAAGCAATTGACCAAGGAAATCCTGAGAGAACTCTAGAAACTCTGTTGTTACCCACAGCCAAACTCCAAGATGTGAGACCAATGAATGCAAGGCATTATCAGGATGTCCTGCACCAAGCCAAAGCTCAGAAATGCAAGGTGAGAGCTTTAAATGCTGCTGCTTGTTGAATGTCGCAATGCGGATTCTTTTTACTTACGTGCACGCCCCTGTCCTGGTACCCCTTGTTTTTTGAGTTAGTTGTACAAATGAGGTGGTGAATAAGCCTATGATGGCAAAGTTTTCTACTACCTCTTCTCTTGTGAAAGGCACAAGGGATTTATATTTAGACTAAAATATATTCTGTGTGTTTGCCAGTACTGACTTAATATAACCTTGATTTATTGTTCATACTACGAAGTTGCTGCAGCACTCCCAAAACACATGGATAGCTGCCCTAATGTAGTTGCGAATTTGTACCTAGTTAGCAGGTTTAGTGTCAGGCAGGTAGCTACAAAATGCATGAGATCTCAGGTTTTGCCAGAAGTGTTGTGGAGCTGAAGGAGTCTGAACATTCAGGTTTCTGAACATTTAAGGGGCCTCTGTTGCTTCAATTTGGGGAATTTAATCACACAGTGGTTTGTGTATTTTTATCTTGCCATTGTCATGCAACAACATTCTGCCTTCCTTGTACGTGCCTGCAGAGGCAACAACATTCTGCCTTCCTTGTATGTCCCGGCATCCCGTCGCAGCAGGATGCCGGGATCCGCTTCCGCAGAAGCGGTGCCCTTGTCAGCCCCAGCATAAACAAAGAGTAGGCGAGCAGCTTGCAGGAGGTGAGCATGAGGTTAGGCAGAGCTGTGAGCAGAGCACATAAAGCCTAGTGCTTGCAAAAGACACCCAAAGTTCATGCGGTGTGTTCCTAAGGTAAACGTTCCCCTGGAAAAGCACAAGGGCTTTGGCATGTAGAAAGGCCTTCCTGCTGCTTTGCCACCTCCCCTGCAGCTCGGGCTGTGAGAACAGTGTCTGCAACTGTAGCCAGAGCCTTGGAAAGCGGTTGCACAAGTCTCAGCTGCTTACACAGGTGCAGGGTTGGCCCACCTGGATCCTACAAACCTCATCCCTTGCTCTGTGCCTTGGTGTTTGGTACACCCCAGTTACTTTGCATGCCCTGTAAAGATATTTGGGGTGTTCTTGGGCACTTCAGCTGACCACTCTCCTCTCAGGCTTGCTTTTGTGTTTTGTAGCCTTTTTATGATTACTTTGAGTGTCTTCTTCCCCGCCTCTCACCATAAGCTGTGCTCTTGTTTGGAAAGAACATGTTCCCAAAAGACACCAAAACACTTCCATTGTAGATGTGTTATGTGAGTTACTCTGTATACTTTATGATATTACTGTAGTCCTCCTTTAGACAAAGGTCATATTTAGACAAACAGAAATGAAAGGGTTATGCCATAACTTGTAAAATTCAGCCTCCCACTTCCGATACCTGTTTTTAAAGCACATCTGTGTTCAATCGTTTTTGGCATGTTTTTAGAGTGGGCTGAAGAGGAAGGAAGTGTTTGATTTACAAGGCTGATAGGTCTGCCTGTGCGTTTCCTGTATTCTCCACGTCTGGAAAACCATGTGGGTCACAACCCAGTGCTGCTTCCACCCATTCTCCTGTCACATCCCTGCCTGTAAACTGTGGTGGCTTTTGGTAAATGCAGTCTGCACCCAAATCTCCTGCTTCCATTGTAAGGTTTCATCTCAGTTCTCACCTCATTGTTCCTTGCTTGAATGAATACAAACATGGAGTTTGCTTATTCCCATAATTTTAGCTTGTAGCAGTTCTCAAAGCTGTGTCAAATCAAGTGTATCTGAGTCCTAAGGAAGTGAAACTGATCAGCGTTGCATTATCTGTACCTGAAATATCAAGCAAATACAGCAGACTTTGAAATGGTTCCCATGCTTTATTTTTAATTAATTATAGAGATGCAGGCAGTTGGCTTTTACAGTCAAATTGGCATTGTTATCAATTACAACAACTGTAACCTTTAAAGGTAACTTTGATATTGGTCCTTGCTCATTTTGCAAAAATGAGAAGATAATGCCTCAAACTAGGAACCAAGAGCCTTGCCAGTCTCCAATCTCTTGGAGATACTTTCAGTTTTCCAGTGCAAATGATTTTATTTTGAAGTAATGCTTCTTAAAATGCTATACAAAGTTCATATAAATCCCCTTTTATATTGTCAGTCTTGTACACTGCAGTTATTACAAATATGAACACCAGCCACTGATTTCATTTTGTAGGAACTTGCACTCAGGACTTGCAGATCCTGAGTTTTCACTGTGCAAGTGAACTCTTTGCTTTATTAATGTGGACAATTAATCATAAGTGTCCTCAGTTGTTTGTAACACTCTAAGCATTTCCTGTGAAGATGTGGAAATAGAGGGAATACTAGGGAACAACTTCCCTGTTGTGCTTACCAAGCAAGAGCAAAGCACGCCTGGATTGCTGCTGATAAGGGTTAGCCTCGAGCAGCGCTCGTGGGCTGCAGGCGCACGGAGCTGGCAAAGTGGAAGAACAAGTCTGCCGTGCAAAGCTGCTGAGGTGGCCTCTCATGGTAACTTGGAAGTGCATCAGGTTCTGCATATGGCTGTGGATTTACTGCCCTTGGAACCTGAAGGGACCCTGGCTCTTCAGGTTCATCATCCAGGGCAATATTTGCTCTTGGCTGTATCAGGATGCATAGGTAGGAAGCTTCTGTGAAGCTATGTTGTTCCTGGACACAGAGAAAGTGCTTTTATTTGTTCCCATTTCCCATTCTTATTCCAAAGGATCTTTTGGTGTGAGGCTTCCTGTGGTGCTGAGAGCTCATCTGAAAGATTTGGAAGTCATGAATGGGACTCAAAAGTGCTATTCAGGAATTGCTTTGTCTTCTAGTGTTTGGAGGCTGTGGTTGTTGATATTCACTTCCCTATGTCCATAAAAGGGAGCTTTTTGGAATAAAATGGAGGTGCTGAGCTACTTCCCTGAGTCTAAATATACCAGTTACTGTAATATGCCTGATACTTTGCTAATTCTGAAATTTTATTTCCGAAGACACTTCTCATATGGTGCTTGGAAGGAAGTAAATTTTATTGAGCATCCTGTTTTTTAATATGTTTTGTTGCTGCACCGCAGGTTTACTGCTCTCTGACTTAACACTGTACAAAATCATTCCAACAATAATAAATATAGAACTAAATTCATTTTTCCCTAGATACTTTAACCATTGTTAGGTAGGTGTTGGACTGACTTCTAATTTTGGACATGAGAAAGTACAGGAAAGGATCAAGGCAGCTATTTAAGCTGCTAAGACATAAAGCGATTAGATAAAAAGAATACAACCTGTCTGTGTTATAGTAGTAATAGTTGATGTGATGGACAATGAGGATAATGTTGCTTGGTACAAAACAAATAGCAAAGATAGTCAGGATCAGAAGACTAACTTTAACATACCAGAACCATTCATGAGTCTTGAGTGTTTGTATGATGGAGATGTAGCAGAAAATGATAATTGCAGGAGGTATTAAAAATCCAGAGATAGCCAAGGAAATGTAGTAGTAGAATTGGAAGGCTGATAGTGTTTCACAGGCGCTGTGCACGTCGTGGCAGGTGAAGATGTCCAGTTGCTTCACGTAATAGCTCTGCTTCATGAGGCAGAGGGGCAGCATGTAGAGGAAGACGGCGGCCCACGCGGCGGCGCAGACGGCCGAGGCGTAGGCGCGCTTGGGCAGGCTCTTGTACGTGAAGGGGTGCACGATGGCCACGTAGCGGCTCACGCTGATGCACGTGAGCAGCAGGATGGAGCAGTACATGTTGCCGTAAAACACGGCCGTGGTGGTCCGGCACATCATTTCCCCAAAAATCCAGTTGTTCCCATTGAGGTGATAGACTATTTTGAAAGGCAAAACGATGCAGAAAAGCAGGTCTGAAATGGCCAGGTTTGTGTAGAGGATGGCAGTGCACACCGATCGGATTCGGAAAAGCAGCATCCACAGAATAATGGCATTAGATGGCACGCCTAATAGGACAGCACTGAGGTAGACAGTGGGGACTAGCTTGGTGCTAAGAGAACTAGTCAGATACTCCAAGGTTGTATTGTTAACTTCTGTTAAAGTTGAGTCATTTGGCTCTTTTGAGGAGCATTTGTGCTCTCTGGTGCGAGCGGTTGTTGTCTCCCCTTCTATAGCATAAGGGGGAATATAATCGTAGTCTCTGATGGAATATCCACGAAAAGTCTTGATAAGAGACACAGTTTGAATTGCAGAGTTATTGTGGGAAGATTCTGAAGCTTAAAAAAGAAAGTTAAAGTTGTTAAATATATTAGATTATCAGTATAGTCAGCTACAAATAAGGGGAAAGGCAAATCTTTCCATGTGAGAAGTCATTTGTGTGATTTTTTGATTTATACCAAATGTGCTCATGGACAATCTTTTTGGTCATCTAACATGCAACCCTGAAAACTTTGCACGAATTTAATGTTAAACCAGGTTTTCTGTTTCACTTATTTTCAGTAATCTTTGCTGGCAAAGTTACAGAAGGCATCCATGCAACATGTTCACCTGTGGAGGCTTTTGACAGGTTGTACCAGTCCTAGTAATTCTTCGGGTAGCTTGGTCTAGGCTTGGTCATGATTTTCAAAGGGAAGAGGATTAAAGTTCTTGTCATTTAATGTGGGGAGTGCATGACAGCAGAAGATGGAAGAGAGAAAAACACAAAACAACCAAAAAACCCATTTTAATTCCATCGTACAATTTTCCAGTTAGAAAATCCAAATAACTCATTTTTGAACTTAAAAGTCAAATTAATGCTCTGTGTTCTTCAGTTTTGGACTCTAAAAAAAATACAGATCTTTTCAATTGCTCCTACATGAGGTGGGCTAGTTCAGTTAAGAACTGAACAAGTGTGTTTGGATTAATATTAGGCCACATTTTTTTGTAAGGAAGTAAAACTTTTCTCCAGCAAAGAAATCCTTAATTGATACATACTGTTAGCATGGGGTAAAGCCCAAGAATGCTGGTTGCATAAAAGATGGCTGTTCTGTGGTATCTGGTAGAGAACTTAGAAATGTCAGTATGCCCTCACAAAGATGAAGCACCCATGTTTGCAACAAGTGGCATCAGAAAGGATCTTATAAAGGAGATTCTGGGGAATAAAACAACAGCAGCTGTTAGATGAATTTTTCTCATTTAAAAAATCTTGGTTATTTTGAAATAGGAATTCACAGAAAGTGAACAAAAACTTGAACTGAAAGAGGGATTTTTTTACCCTTCTGTACTGGAATAAAATGTGGAAAACAGTTTTATCCAGGCTTAGTTTTAAAACCATCAAACTTGTGATAGTGGTTTGAAATAATGTAATTAGTAGACTGCGTACCTTTTGATATTGTTTAGGTGATTAGTCAAAAATGAACGTCAATCACTCTAAGATGTGTATACAATGTATTTTATAACTTGTATGTATATGTACATATATGTATAACAGAGCTTACACAGATGGACTTAGTTTGAAAGCAGCTTTAATTGTAGTGAGGATAAATTGGCTTATTTCATCATTTCCTTCATTTATTTTTGTCACAAAGAGCTATTGGAGCATTTCCCTGTAATGACACCATCTGTGAAGTGGTAAGGCTGTTCAACTCTTTAAAGCAGAGAGAAAACATGACTCTACATGTCTAACACTACTAAACACCCTAGAAATGTAGGCAAAGGTGAGCTTGGGAGAGAGATGCTTTCTGTATGCTCCATTAAAAGAGGTTTTTAAATGCTTACTGGAAGTGATTGGGCTAACAGGGAGAAATAATTCAAGGTGTCACGGAGAAAGAAGTGTAAAGATCTGCTTTAAATGAGTGGAGCAGTCTATTTAAACTACTAAAAAGCTGGAAAAGCAAAAACTGTCAACTAAAATACAGAACACAGAAAGGAGAACTTACCTGCCACAAACAGACTTGAGGTAAGAGAGAACACTCCAGTTAAAACCAGTATCTTCATTGTAGTGCGTTTAGATCCAGCCCGCAAAAATCCAGTGCTGCTCTAGCTCATTTCAAGAAGCTTTTTAAGGGGATTTATTTCTTGGCAAACAACTGGAGAGTGATAGCTCTGTCCCCCAGCAGCATCCTGTGGACAGGGGGTTTATGGCCAAAGCTAGTTTGTTCTTTGTCTACTACAGCGAGGAGGGTGTGACGTATCCAAATATGCACACATGACTCAGTTCAGCCCCTGCCCAGCACAGATTAAATTGCTTTACTGCAGCAACTTAACTCCTAATTTACCAAGAGCCAGAAGGTGATGCAGGGACTCTGTTTTCTGCTGAGATTTGTGTGTACAGATATTTGGGGGAAAATATTTTTGTGCAAGGATCCAAGGAAGGTTTAGGGAATCCTTAAAGGTCTCGTTCACAGACTCAAATCCTATAAAATTAAATCCTGTACTATTGAGGAAGAAATCAGACTTGGGAACAGAGTGGTGATCTTGGTTCAAAACATGTAAAGGAGAAAGACTGAAAAAGGTACATCTTACAAAGTATGTTCTGCCTGATGTAGCAAATATGAGCTCTGTGCTTCCTGGGCGCTCTGTCTCTCTCTACCAGCAAAGTCCAGGCGATGTGCAACCTGACAAGCTGCTGCCTTTACCTCATGTTTGTTCACTGTTTTGCTGTTCCCCTCCTTTGTCTGAAATATTTTATCTGCTGGAATGCCAGGTAACAGTGGTTTGCCTTCAGCCAACAAAACTAGAGTTGGTCTGGCTTCCAAACAAAGTGAGGACCGAAGTAAGTGGTGTTTGGCTTTGTAACAATGTTTGTATTTGTCCTTGTATGAAACTTGTACAAACTGAAATGCAGATTCCTTCCCATTTCACAATCTTATTCCGGAAACTCTTGTTGGGATTTTTCATTTTTGTGTGTGCTCTCCCAAGTGTTAACTCCAATTTATCACACTACACTTGTGTGTCCTGCTACTACATCAGTGCTTGATAATGCTTAATTTGATCTAAACATATTGTTGCTTCATTTAGATATACTATGAAACTAGGAGAGTTTTTTCATTTTTATTTATTCTTTCCTGTTTACTCTCCTTAATATTTGTGGACCACAGATCTATTGGATTTTGGCCTGCAGTTGAGCCCTGTTATCCATTGTGAAGCTGGTTGTTTGCAGTAAGCCTTTAGTGCTATATGGTACTTTCCTGACATTTATTTTCTGAAGTACTTCTCTAAAATATTTTCTGAAATGTTCATATACACTTCTTTATCCAATCAGTATATTCCAGTTCCTCTCATCCTTAATATCTTATGTATGTAACACTTTTCTGTTTGGGAAACCCTTGTCCCCGCTCTGTTTCTATGGCCTCTCCAGCTCCCAAATCTCTGTTTTTGGGCCGAAGCGGCTGCTGCCCGTGACGGTGCCGGAGGAGCGCGGTGGTTCTCGGGGCTGCTGTGTTGCAGGTTGGTCGGGTGGCCCCGGCCCCAGCACCGCTCTGGCCAGTGCTCAGTGAGGTCCTGGCTCTCTCTGCTCACTGGCCGCTTTCTTGCAGACATCCAGCTTCAGGTTCCTGTTTTAGAAATCAGCTGCTCTGTAGAGCTCCAAATCACAACTTGTGCAAACTGCTTCATGATGCTCAAAAATGGGCAGTTTTTCTTGGGCTAGTACCTAAGTGGTGCACCTCTCTCATGCCCCTGATTTTTCGTGTAAACTTGTGCCTGTAGCCTTTTAAGCTGCTTAGTATCATTTTGCTTCAGGACATTGGCTCTGTCCATTGTAGCCTTAGGTTGAAGCTTTAGCAGGAAGGGAGGATTATCTTGTACAGAGAACCCTCTATTTCACATCGGATATAGTGTCATGAATTGTGAAACCTGCTCTGCTACTTAATTCCTGAAATGTTTGCTACCTGAAGTAAGTCATCATTACTAAACCTGAGCTGTCGTTTTATGCCAGTGTTAGTGCTGGTATTTTCTCATGTAAACTTTACTCGGGGGGTGGGTGTATGTAACATTTCCAAATAGGGAATTCTGGAAGAAGATTAATGTTCTATAATCTTTAGGTCTGTTTTTGTTACTATCGCTGTAGTGTTTGGTTATGCTTGATTTTACCTAATGCTGCAATTATTTTGCTTACATGTTATGGAGATAAAACAGATTGTTCTTGCTTTTCAGTTTTCCTTTACCTTTGCTAGAATGGTGCCTTCTAAAAATAAAAGCCTTGAGGTCTTGGTGTTTGAACATGCCTTTATTCAAGTCAGTCAGTGGAATATGAGCTGAAACCTTTGTTTTATTGCTGCTTTCAAGTGGTCAAATTATTTTTAGTGCCCAAGGGAGCTTGTGTACCAGAGTTCTATCAGTATATTAGGACAGATTTTTATAATACTTGTAGTTCTTTTATGAAAGAACTGAAGGAACTAATTACAAAGCACTTTATCTTTTTTCCAGGAATCCCAGGATGACTCAGCGGTTTTGTGGCTGGATGAAATACAAAAAGGGATCAACGATGCCAATAGTAATATAAAAGAAGCAGAAATCTGTAAGCATTGACATACCTTTATATTGCCCATGTTGTTCTTAGTCTTGGAAAACTGCTGAATTACTAATCTGTCTATCTTGTGAGATGTGTGAATGACCTTTAAACACACAGGAAGAAATGAATGTGTAATCTGTGAAGAAATCCCTTCCCATGGGATGGGAATCATTTAAGTCTCAGGAATGGTGTTAATTTTGTCTAGGGTTTTGGTCTTTAAGGTTTGGTTGATAACTTAGTGATTTCTCTTACAAAGGTTAATGAGATGACTAAAATTTCTAGTGTTGGCGTGTTTCAGAGCTGGCCCTGCTGCATTACTGTATTTCACCTGAAATGAGAAAGAAGGCGTAGGATCATTAAGAGATTACTTTTGCTTTTATAAGACTAAAATCTTGATGCATGCTAATTCTTAAGTGGGTATAGCTTTGCTTAATCTTATTTTATAATGCCTCTTATTCATAATGAATAATAATTAAGACCATCTTCTTAAGTAGCAAAAAGTGCACTCAGGAGAAGTGCATGCACTTCCAATCTGTGAAGAAGCAGGAATAATCTGTACAGAAAAGCCTGAGGTTTGTCCTGTGACAGTGTACTGGATATACCTAATACTATCTTGTGTTAAAGTTTTGATTAAATATAATTTAGAAAATGTAACTAAAATATAATTAAGTGACAAGTAATGTAAAAACAAGAATCATGGGGTAGATGGGGCATGCTAGAAAGCCTGGTAGATACTCTGAGGGGTTTGGTGTGGGCTAGCTGAGTTTAGTTGAAAGATTAAGCGAGCTGGGCCTGTTTAGGCTGGAGAAGAGAAGACAGAGGGGATCTGGTCAATATGTACAAGTACCTGAGGGGTGATTGTAGGGAGGATGAGGCCAGGCTCCTCTCAGTGGTGGCTGGTGACAGGGTGAGGGGTAACAGGTACAAGTTGAAACATAAGAAGTTTAATCTCCTTGTGAGGAAGAACTTCTTTACTGTGAGGGCGACAGAGCCCTGGAACAGGCTGCCCAGAGAGGTTGTGGAGTCTCCTTCTCTGGAGACCTTCCCAACCTGCCTGAATGCCACCCTGTGCCACATGCTCTGGGTGTCCCTGCTGGAGCAGAGGGATTGGACTAGATGATCTCTAGAGGTCCCTTCCAACCTTAACCATTCTGTGATTCTGTAATTTGGCTTGGGATTCGATATCAGTTTGGCTGTGGGGGCATTTGCCTACATGAGTCAGAACCGCCTTCTTTAGCACACTCAGAGCTTGTGAATACAGCTGCTGAACTCAATGCATTCTTACAATGCTGCTTTCAGCCTCTATTATTGTTTGCTTATAGGTAGTCAAGAGTCAGAAGTATTTTGAATGGTGTGGGTGAATAAAGGTAGCAGGGGTAGTGCTTACAATATATAACTTTCTATCCCTGTCACAGAAACGCTGCATTTAGCGTTGCTGTTACGCTAGAATTGATTTGCAATATAAACTTAACTAGATAGCTATACCAAATACCTGTGCCGTAATTTCACAGGTCGTGCGTCTGTGTAAAGCTTCTTTTCTAAGGTGGGATCAGAAGCGCGTAGCCGTCCCAATCGTGCTGTTATGCTTGGGAAATAGACACCTTCCCGTAAGAGCAAAAATACTTTCCAATCAGTTGTAACCAGAGGCATGAGGAAACATCTGGGCACAAAGATGGGAAGGAAATTCGTCATAACTTGTCAGTTATGAAGATGTCAGTTAAAGCTAAAAAGTGATGGGGAAACAAGCTAGGTTGTGGCCTCTGTTCTGAGTACCATGAATGTCACAAAAGTGGCTTAGAGAACCTGCCACAGTGACTCATACCAATACCACATGATTTGTGAGAGATAGGCCTCTGCCCTGTCTACTAGTCACCTGTTACAGTACATTTTTTATATAGTTTGTGTCACCATGTTTGCATAATCAAATATGATTGACAAAGTATTCTAACAAGATGCTAGTAAGAAAATTCTTGGTGATCTCCCATGTTCTCTCATGCGTTGAAACGAGACATTTATCAGCACAGCATCATCCATGTTCTTTAAATGGAGGCAAAGATTTTTGCAGATAAATACTGAGAGTTTAATTTCCCCTCAACACAGAACCTGATATTTCCTGTAATAGATATATCCTACTTCAGGAAGTTAGCAGGCTGTGTTCGCACAGTCTAAACTTAGAAAGTTCAACTTAATTATAACTTACAAATCAAGTCTTAGCTTTTCTGAGCTAGACAGGTCAAAATCTTTTGAATTCTGCCTCTGCCAAGAATTTCATACAAAAATAGTGCCTGATGTTTAGAGCAAACAATCTTTGAGACTGCTGTGGTGATAGCAGTAAGATAAGAGAAGGTGCTTTCACAGCTCTGCTGGAACACTCTTGAGTAACTCTTCTGCCTTAAATGTGGCATAAAAAAGCAAAGCAAAATGCTAAGTATTACATGTGTTAAAATTTAAAAAGGCTTTTAGACAAATGGTCTTTCCAGTCAACAAAGGATTCTGCTTCCTGTGTACTCACTTAGGGAGAAATGCTCAGGAAGCACTCATGCTTGGGGTGTATTTTCAAATTCTTTGGCAAATTGCAGTGCAATTTGCAACATGTTGCTCCATGTGTCAAACCAGTGTGGGCTATTCTACTTTTTATCCAAGTGGAGAACAAAATGAGATTAGCTGCAAGTGTGACACCCCTCAAGGAGAGATACTGGTACAGCACTTCTGTTCTGTGTTAAGAAGGCTGTTGGTCAGCAAAATCTCTTGAGAGTGCCCCTGTTATGAAAGAGTTGATCTTTGGCCCTGCTGGAGACTTGGGCTTATCAGAGAGGACAGCTGTGTTTTTGTATATCTTAGCTGTGTGAAGGAAGGATGGATGTGAAAGAGCCCTTCAGTGAGCGGGTACTGAGGTGCTGCAGGAAAAGAATTGGTGTATTTATAGCCTGTAGATCTCCTGCAGCTGGGGATGGATACATTGAGCTCATCATTTTATAGGGAGTCACATGGTCCTTTAGAGCAGCAGTGTTGGTGTCAGCCTTTATCATTGTAAAGGAATCATTTCTGTTGAATTTGGGTGCCTGCCATCCTTAGGCCTTCTCCATCAGTGTCATTTGCGATGTTGGTTGATGAGAGAGCAGCTATGCTCACAGACCACTCTTGATTGTGCTATGACTGCTTCCAAGCCCACCTTTTTATTCTGTGAGCTTGCTTTTCTCTGAAATCCTTGTCCTTACACACATGCAAGACTGCAAAGGACAGAGGCGCTGTGAATTTTCATGTATACCATAAAACATCTGATGTTCTATGTCATTTTTTATCCTAGTGGCTCTCGGGACATCAATGATTAACAAGAGCTTGGAGAAGGGAGATTCACAGGCCATCCTGATGATATTGCAGTCTAAATTTGGACTACGAGTCATTCCAGAATGTTCTGAAACCTATTTCAAGACCCTTTCAGAAGCCAAGAAGCTAAAACATACAGGTAAAAACCTACCTCAATAGAAAATTTCTACACTTAAACATCATTGAAACATCTGGGAAAACAGCATGGCAGGCTTACTTAAAATCACTTTAAGTTGCAGGACAGGACTGCTGTTTTGTAATGTTTTGAGAAATACATTTGCCCAAGTCCTTTTTACATAAGTCTGGATTGTTGCATCTTTTCAGATAACAATGCAGGCTCAGGAATGGCTGTAGTTATTTCTAGAGGCTAACTAGGGTCATATTAGCTTTGTGTCAAGTTAGGGCAGCTTCCCTGTGACTGCTGATAGACTAGTCCACACTCTTGGAAAACCACACCACTAGTTTTTCCCTGCCTGCTAGCTGGAGCAGGGGAGACTTGCACTGCAGCCTCACAGGCATTTGCCAAGGGCCAGGCCAGGGTCTGCTGATGTACCCATGACTCATTCCAGGTCCCCATGCTATGCTGGAGCATGTGTCAGCAGTGCCTGGGGCCAGACTCTGCCCATGGCACAGATGGCATGGCATGTTAAGTTGCCATCAGATCATTGCTAACACAGCCAGGCTTAGCTACCAATCTAAAATATGCACTACTGTCAATGTAGTGCACTTTCTTAGAGCAGATCTTCATGTTTCATCCTGCACTGTGAGCTTTGAAAGGGCATCTTGCACAACCGACTGTCAGCTTTACCTTGGAGCCTTTCCTCCATGAGGAAATTAAGCTTTTCCTGCCCTTCAGGATACAGCCTTGTTTACCAAAGCTGATTGCACCAAGCATAGCTGTGACTTGTCTATAGGAAATCTGTGGATTAAGTGTCAGTAAAACCTGGAGCCAGGCAGGCAACACTGTTTCTGTTTCGCTTACGGGTGTAATAGATGTGGCAAAAACTGTTTCAGCAGTCAGCACGAAGTTGGTGTGTTCCGGTTTTAAGAAGCTGATAGCATTTCTGCATCAACCTTCTTAGTTCTTCTGTCCTGGAAGAATAATCCAGATTAATGTAATAGGATATTTTGAAAATGTCCTTTTTTCAAAATGGCTCAAAGTGTATGGAAATATGGCGCAGAAAATAGCTAGTGGTGTAACAGATGTAGAGATGGGGAACTGTAACTTTTCCCTGTAACAGGGTTCCAAAATGCATGCTAATATCAGTATGTATTGCTTTCAGATTCTAATGAAAGTCCATGGATTAAGCTTGTAATGAAAGATGTGTATGATTACTATTACAATGTGGAAACTGAACAAGGTACCTGTGTTGCCCCTGAAGGAGTTGCACCAAAAACTTCATGGTTAACTGGTCAAGAAATCCAGGTAAGTTGCAGAAATGTTTGCTGCAATTGCATTCAACTGCAGCATAACATTGGACAGATGTGCCAATGTCAAGACTGTACAGAGGAGACCAAAGACACTTTTAACTCAGTATTTTTTTTTCTTTCAATAAAGCAGCATCTTAAAGTGCATCTTCCTGTCCTGTGTCTGACAATGATTTAGGCACCTCCTAACTGCAGGGTATGCAATTAGAGCATCTTTTTTAATGGCCTTCAGTAGAAACATTGATGGAAGAAAATCAAATTACTGTTCTTCTCTCATGTTTTTTTTTTTGAACTGCCCTATGATGAGTTTCATAGTGTACTTGGGGTGGTGAGGGGACACTTCTGTGTTTAAATCTTATCATCTGTCAGCATACTTATATTTCCAAACATGATGAGCCTGGCACTTCAAACCTTCTACTGCGGAGGCTTTCTTTTAGCATGAAATGACTTGCAACAAAGATCACACAAGCTTCTGTGCAAGCTGGTGTTCATATTGATGCAGCACATCTGGCTTATGGATTTAATATGCTGCACAAAAAAAGTCAGTGTAGATTCATCAGAAACTTTCACAGGAGCGACATTGAAGTATGTAAGTAGTATAAGTAGTACTTCTATGTACAGAGCTCCTAGATTCAATTTTAGATTCCTATATTCTTAGACTTCTGGTTTCTTAAAGCTTGCAAGCATTAGGAAAGTAGAACTCTCAACCTTGCTGTCTATATTAAAAAAAACTTGGGAATGGCATGTCTGTCTGGTTAATTGAAAGGAGTTCCGTTATGCTTTAAGAAAATCATTGGTTGAAGTAGCTCTTTATTGTTTTTGATTAAACCTATGGATAAATTGGAAGGGCTTGGATATGGTAGACATAAGCTATACAGATGCAAAGAATACAAGCTAAATTCCAGAATGGTTTTGGCTTCTTTCCCTTAGTACTTTCAAATAGATTACAATCGAGAGCAGCTGTGGCTTGCTAATGAAAATCTGATTGTTCAGCTGCAAGCCCGAGCAAGGGGGTTCTTAGTCAGAAAAAACTACGAAGCCCGAAAAGCCTACCTGCAAAGCCAGGAACCGTCTGCTGTCAAAATACAGGTATTGTGCTGGAGCAAGAGGTCCCCTTTCTGGGGATGGAGGGTGGTATGTGACAGATGGTGGCAGTAGTGCTGGCACAGACCTCAGATGTGTCTGCCAACTTGGCTTTGTTAGCAGCAGCTCAAACATCTGCTTCTGTAAATGTGTCCCTGTCTCCACTAGAGTGAGCTTTTAAAGAGCAGATGCCCCATTTTAAAAGAACAGTACGTCATATACACCTGTGATCTAAGCTTCTTCAGTCATGTATGATGCACCTAATTATACACACTACAAAACTGGAAGATGGTCATCGAGTATTGAAGCAAAGAACTCCTTGGTGAAGCATGGTGTAGGAAGGGCATTCCTTTCCAGGCAGTCCCCAGCGGCAAGCCGTGCTTGTCACTGCTTTGTGAAGGTGCCACAAGTGAGCAGGGAGGGGGTTGGGCTCCGCATCCAGCAGTGTTGCTTGGACGTGCTCAGCTTGCTGTCCGCCAAAGGCAGTGCAAAGGAAACTCTGCCGAGTGTCAACACTGACAAATGCACAGATGGCTGATTTTTAGATAGTTAAATTAAAACCTCTTGTTAGAAGCAATTTACTCAAATCTTTAAAAACAAACAAGGAAAAAAAATCCCAGAACTCTTAATACTGAAGAAGGAAGTATAATATCATGGACAACTAATTTTTATTTTGGGCATTTATATTTACATATTAACTATTCCTGGTAATATATGCTCTTACTATTAGAGCCTGTCTGTTGGATTGAGTTTTTGTTTTACTGCATGGTGTCCAGGCTTAGTAAAGGACTGAATTGTTTTGAGGAATTCAGTGTCTGTGGCCAAGTTCAACAGTATCTGGAGATGTGGTGTGTGTGCGTGTGGGCAAAGTTATTATCTGATTGTTTTCCACGGGCATTAAAATGGATGTGACTTGTGAAAAGCCAGTAAATGGAGGATAGAGAAGAAAGTCAAAATAAGGTAAAGGTCAAGAGCAGCTGCTTATCCTTTGTGTTGAGGTCCTGGCCAAAAGTTTTGATTTTGGACTAGTGGAAGGAGAATCAAGGGGGCAGTTTTAGAAAGTAACATTCTCTGTGTAACAAGATGGTCCTCAGTGACCATGGCAGACTGATAATCTTAGACCAGAGACTTGGTAAGGGGGCCTGGGCTGGGCAGGAATGGTGGCAAGAGGACAGCTCTTGGATCTAATGGGAAAGGGAGCCTGAGTTTGCCTGTATGCAGGGTACAGACTGTGACTGTCACGGGTTTGATGTACTGGTGGCAAAAGCCAGAGTTAGGATGACCTCAGGGGATGGAGAGGAAATGGCATTTGACACCAAAATGTTGAGATTGGTCAAAATTCACATGGACTATATCAAGGCATCTTAAAAATACAAAGACACAGCCCTACATACTCATGACTTAACTATCTTTTTGCCATAATGGCAGTTTTTACTGTACAGGATGAACATTGATATCCATTTTAAGGTGTGTATATATAGTTTTGAATGAGTAGTAGTCTATTACTAATAAAAATGGTCTCCTTTTTTATAAAACAGGCTTTCTGGAAAGGATACAAACAAAGGAAAAGCTATGTTGACAGACTAAAGGTGCTTCAAGGCAATGTTGCTGCTATTGTCAAGGTAAGATTCCATTTGTGCTTGGGTGTATTCATGGATTTCTATGGCTTTCCACATCCTGAGAGACTGTAACAGTAAAAATTGAAGAGACTTTAATTTCAGAAACTTGTGTAACATTGAAAGCTTTTAAATTGGTGGCTTCAGTAATTCAATTCTTGAAAGGTAAGTTTTGGTCTTTCAATATGTTTTGAATTTGAGAGCTTGAGAGATTTCTATTTGCCTTTCTGTTGCACTGAATTGGAAAATGCGAGAGCTGTTAAATTTTAATGAAATGATACTACTGGCAAATGTATTTGTCCAGAAAGTGTTAAGTTTTCTATGGGATGGTAATGTGATCTAGTCATAATGTAGTATCCTAATTAGCATATTCAACTCTTAAAAATAAGAAATGTAAAAATGAGAGCTGAGATGTGAAACCAGCCATTATCTTAAAGCCTTGAATTCAACCTGCGATTTCAGCAAAGCCTCAGTTTGGTCGCTGAACTATAGGAGCCGATGGTGTGGTCATGTGTCCCCAGAAATAACAGCACAGTAGGGGACCATCAGAAGATAATTTAACATCCACCATACCCACCTATGTCCAGTGTACATGAAATTCTTACTTAACTTTCAGATTCAATCATGGATCAAAATGTGGCTAGCAAGGAGAGCTTATAGGAAACGTCTGCAGTACTTCAAGGATCATGTAAGTACTTTTTCTCCAACTTCAGCACAGAGCATTAAAATGAGGGCAGTGCCCTGGAATCCCCGGAATGAGTACGCAGCTTCTGCAGGACTTTTCTGAACAGAAATTCATCCTAACTGCAGACTGCTCTGTGGTGTTTTTGATTTTTCTTTTTCTTTTTTTCTTCCCTAGAAACATTAGTCTTAATCTAGATACCTGTATTCATCATGTTACACAAAACGTAAGCTGTAGTTTAGAGGTTTCTTGATTCTTTGTGCCTAATTTTGGTCCCTTCCAGAATGACGAAATTGCGAAGATACAAGTGTTTCTCAGAGCAAATAAAGCTAGGGAGGACTACAGAACACTAAGTAAGTGGTAATAGCTAAACTTTGTATATCTGGAGAGATGTATATTACTGTTCAGTCATTCATAAAACTATAAGTTCCCTGTTCCACTTGAAAGCATCTCCAAATATTTGCAAACAAACTGTTTTGCAGCTACAACAGTTTTAAAAATCTCTACTTGCTTAGGATGAAAAAATATTTTACCCTTGTCTGAGTGGTATGAACTTCTAGAGTTGAGTGTTTTTCTGTAGCAACCAGTTCTGACTGTTTTGTGGATTCAATGTCATGTCTATTAACAAGCCTGTTTACTCTGACTGTAGTTGGTGCTGAAAATCCGCCCTTGACTGTCTTGCGCAAATTTGCCTACCTCTTGGACCAAAGTGACTTAGACTTTCAAGAAGAACTAGAAGTAACAAGGTTAAGGGAAGAAGTGGTTACAAAAATCCGATCCAATCAGCAACTGGAGAAGGACTTGAACTTAATGGATATTAAGATTGGACTGCTGGTAAAAAACAGAATCACTCTTCAGGTCAGCAGACTGTGTTCAAACACCCTTGGTAGCATGCACTGAGCATTTTGCTGTGTTCAAGCAATGTTGGATTAGAATTAGTTAAAATACTCCTGGGAAATGAAGCACTTGACTTGTTTTAAGATATCAGAATAGCTAAATGTGGCTTGCATTAGAGGTTACTCTTCCAATTATGTCAGTTCACTAAATTTTGTTATTTTGCTAATAATAAACAAGAGTAATCACGCAATCACAGAATGATTGAGGTTGGATGGGACCTCTAGAGATCTAGTACAAATTCCTTGCTCAAGCATGGAATTTCTTCTTAGGCTTTGAGAAAGCTCTCAAACATTTTGAGGTCTATTCCATTCTACCACATTTACTGTGGTAGAATGGAATAGACCTCAAAATGTTTGAGAGCTTTCTCATTGCAAATAAATGAGTCTACACATAAAACCGGGTTTCTTAGCTGTTCCTGGCAAGACATAATGGCAATGAGGTAGTTGAACATGTTCAAAGCACTGGTTAGTAAATAGACTAAAACATAAAATTGCTAATTAAAGACCTTGTAGAAATCAGACACTAAAATGGCTGAAAATTTTTTATTTTGTATATTGTGAATATATGACCTAAACCTTTGGTTATGGTGTCTGCAGGATGTGGTACTGCACAGTAAGAAACTTAACAAAAAGAGCAAAAGTCAACTGGAAGAGATGGTTATGGTTGACAAACAGGGTATCAAAGGTTTGAGCAAGGAGAGAAGGAAAAAACTGGAAGCTTACCAACATTTATTCTACCTTTTACAGGTAAGTTTTATTGTAGAAGTTAAAACACAAATTACTGAAGACAAACTGTATTGCTTGCTTTGTTTTAGTGCTTTCAGCGATAATCACAAAGATCTCCAAAGGACTGTAGTACACAGACCACAGTAAATGTCACCGTGTTCTAATATTCCTGTATTTGAGAATATCCTTGTTGTCCTTAAACTGTGCAAAAAAAGCTGATTTTCCTCAGAATAAGCTCAGTCTATAATGGAATGGAAATGAGGTTTTCTATGTATTTTTTAGTACACAGAAATTACCATTATCTTTACATTATATATGGGGGAAAATGGAACTGTCTTAGGCAGCTGACAGCACATAATCCATCTGGCTTTGTATTTTTTATTAATCTCAAGTCAATAGAGCTAATGCACTATTGTGTGCCTTAATGCTAGATCTGAAGTACTGTGTTCAGAGACTCCCAATGAAATCCTCATCTATGCCATTTGCTTAGTGCAGTGTTCAGTGTTTTTTATGCATTCATATTTGGAAAAAAGTAAAATTGTGCAGAAAAATGATATATGTGGTAATCAGTGTAAATGCTTTTAGAGTTAGCAGAAGCAGTGTTGCCCCTGAAGTATGGATAGTTTGTCACAGAAAATAGAATTTGAGTAATTTGTTTGTTTTGTAGACTAATCCCACGTATCTGGCGAAGCTGATTTTCCAGATGCCTCAAAACAAATCAACCAAATTTATGGATACAGTCATCTTCACTCTGTATAACTATGCCTCCAATCAGCGAGAAGAATATCTGCTTCTCAAGCTCTTTAAAACTGCTCTAGAAGAAGAAATAAAGTATGTACACTTACTAGAAGACTTCAGTTAACTTGTCTTATAGCTAGGCCAATGATTTTTTTGAATATTATACCTTAAAGAATTTGGCTATAACTTTGTTATGGAAATACACATGTAATTGTCACTAGATAAATTGGTGTTTTCAGAGTAGTGTGATTCTAGCTCAAACTATCTTAGATTCAGATAAATGTTTCTATTTTGGAGACATCTTCATGTGATAGATCACTTGAAAGAGTAAATACTGCAGTTTAACTGTTCTACTTGAGTATGAAATGTTAGTGTCATGTTCTCCTTGTTTAAATATGTGTTCTCTAAGTGTAGAGCTTGTGCTTTCTCCTGAAATAATAAACTCTAAATTTATGCCCTTAGTGGGTATCTGCTAATCAGATATTTGTGCCTGAAATAAGTATTGATTAGCAGCCACTCACAAAATACCATGTTCCAGGGACATTATTTCAAATTACAATTCAGCAAGTAACATTTATAGTCTTGCCTTTTATAGAAGTCTAATATATAGGCTGTATAAGCATGCTTCAGCATGTAAAAAGAAAGAGCTATTTAGGATACTGAAAAGATGCTTTCAAAAATGTGTTTTTGAAAAATGTTTAGAAAGTATGGGCGACTTTTGTCAGATCTGAGAAGTGTTCTGCTTTTGCTACAGCTCCAAGGTGGATCAGATACAGGATATTGTCACTGGAAACCCCACTGTCATTAAGATGGTTGTCAGCTTCAACCGAGGTGCTCGAGGACAGAACACCCTGCGCCAGCTCCTGGCTCCAGTGGTGAAGGACATCATGGATGACAAGTCCCTCATAATCAACACTAGCCCTGTGGATGTGTACAAGGCATGGGTAAACCAGTTAGAAATGCAGACTGGTGAGGCCAGGTGAGTGATGATACTCTTAAATCTAGAGCTATGTCTCAGTTCAACTCATTTCCTGACAGATTTTGCTTTGTCCGTCCCAGGTGTCCACCCATTTCCTTCATGTCTTGATGACATGATGAGATTTTGCAGAGCAGTGTGGTGGAGTAATTGAAGTACTATACTCTGTTCTGAGCAGGAAGGTCCCTGCTGGCCATGAACTTTGAGTCCTTTCCATCATAATCTTTACTGGTATAGTAAGCTATGCCATGGAAAAAGTTGCAGCCTTATGTCCAGGGTTTGTAACAGCATCTGTTAGGAGTGTCGTGTGCTTTTAAGAAGCTACACTAGGGAACAGAAATCCATGTGTGGGACTCTCAAAAATCTAATTTGTAAAAATTCGCTTTTTGTAAGTAGGGAGGGCACATGATGGCATGTTGTACCCCTGTTCTCAAAAAAAGTGGATCTGAGAATTGTGTTATTGAAGCAAGCTCAGCTGTATCTGTCTTGCCTAAGGTGTTTCTTCTTTTCTGTTCACTGATGACCTTACAAAGCCAAACAAATTGTGTTTTAGTCTCAAATAGGTTCAAGCTGATTTAACTTGCTGATTTGCTTTGCAGCAAATTGCCATATGATGTAACCACAGAACAAGCACTAACACATACAGAAGTAGTCAACAAGTTGGAATCGTCGATTCAGAGTTTGCGAGCAGTAACAGACAAAGTTCTCACCTCCATATTCTCATCTCTCACTATGATGCCGTAAGTGCTGAGCTAGGACTATCTCTAGTCTGCAGTTCATGTGCACGGTGAAGTTTTATGCTTTCCAGTTGGCTTCTGATATACCTCTTCAATGACTTCTCCAGTAGAGGGAGAGGTTTCTCCACATTGCAGAACCCTACATTGTTTTAGCCTAGTGAATGTCTACCTAAGTGTGAAATCTTTTGTAGTTTCCATTATCATCTTGTTCTGTGTTTTAAGTGGCTGAGGAGAGAGAGAAAAAGAAAAAAAAGCTTGGGTGATTAGAATGATGTTTGTTTCATCTAAGTCTTTCCATTATTTTCCTTTTCATCTGTTCTGCATGTAGTTATGGAATGAGATATATAGCCAAAGTTCTGAAGAGCTCGCTCCATGAGAAATTCCCAGATGCAACAGAAGATGAACTATTGAAGGTAGACTTCTGAAGACAACCTGTCAGCAGCTTTTTCTTTTTATCCCAAAAGGGATTTTTATTGATACTTAGTGTACTAAGGACCTGAAAACATCTGTATGTGTTGAGGAAACTTAAGTTCTTGGATTGCAGAAAAATCTGGAAAAAATTGTCATGAAATGGATACCTAATTTTCTCATCCATAAAAATGCAATGAAATGTTAGGAGCCATCTTTAAGTGAACATTTTATCCAGAAGTGTTATTTTTGTAAAATTCAAAATAACCAAGTCTATATATAGTCTTCAATTATTTGTGGCATTTGTTCAAATACAAGTAGAAAATTCTGAGATCTGTCTAATATATTTCTGACAGTCAACCAGATCATTTTTGATAATCTATTTTGAAATGAGTTTTAAATATTGTAGGCTTTTTAATAAGTATTTGTTAAATGTTTTGGCAATGTCTTGTTTAAGAAAGTGATCACTTTGGGATGGGAGAATGTATTTAATCTGAAGTGTGGTGCCTATTAATATGCTTGAATCTTTTTATACAAGGCCAGGGTTTTCCAGTTAGCCACATGGATAACACTTAGGAAACATGCAGTAGGTAACTCCTACTCCCAATTCCTGTGTCTAGTTCAGAAGTAGAAGTGTTTGATCATGTTTTGTAAAAATGCAACTAGCATATGCAAAGGGGAAGATCTCTAAAGAGTTTTTCTTTCAGATTGTTGGCAACCTCCTGTATTACCGCTTCATGAACCCGGCCATTGTTGCTCCTGATGGCTTTGACATCATTGATATGACAGCAGGGGGCCAGATACACCCTGACCAGAGGAGGAATCTGGGTTGTGTTGCCAAGGTCCTCCAGCACGCTGCCTCTAACAAGCTCTTTGAAGGAGAGAGTGAGCATCTTTCATCTATGAATGCTTACCTCTCACAGACGTACCAGAAGTTCAGGTGTGAAACACTTCCAAATACCTAAGCTGAGAATTCTGTTCTTGAATCAGGCAGATTAATTCCTAATTTATATTAAACCTTTATAAAAGGAAAGCAAATAACCTTACTTCAAGTTAGAAATATTGTGTGTATAGTCTGCTTCACCTTCTTCGGCGGTGAAAAGTGACAGGCTGTATTTCAACATCAGCATTGCTTTAAGAACAAATCCATCCTGGTGATTTTGCAGATAGACTTCTTAGTGGCAAGTAGATTGTGTGAACAAAATGAAATGATTTATTATTATGCAGAAATAATGTGACCTACAAGTGGCCAGAGCAGCTGATTGTTTTGTCTGAGGAAAAAAATCTCGGAAAGGGCAAAGCTGACTCTTTTCTTTCATCTGTGAGACTATCTTAGGAAGCTACATAGATTCCCAAAGAGACATTTCTGGGAAATATCTGGGCTGCAGGTAATATAAGTTGCTTGGATGTAGTGCCCATCTTCTAGGGTGGTGGTTACTAGCTTGCAGTGTTCTTCCATCTTGTGACAGACTCGTAACGTGTCTTTAATGTCTGTCCTAAATGAAAGCAAAAGCCCATATAATGGGTTTCCTTGAGAGGCGAGGCTAATTGAGTCATTCCATTTGCTAAAGTACTTAAGAGCATGACATAAATGTTAAGAAGAAAATAGGCTGCAGAAGTGCTGAAGTAGGGAGAATAGCAAAGTTGTTAAGGAGAAAACCTATTCTGGTTGGCTCTTGACCACTGCAATCTTGCTTCCAACTAAATTACCTTATTGCAGAATGAGCCTCTGAGGGTCTGTGCCCTCCTGGATCACTGCTGGCCCTTTGGAGTCTGCCAGCAGCTGCAGTTGCTCTGTTGGTGATGTTAACAGCACTGGACATCCCTGCCTGCACTCTTTAGTGTCTGCTCATGCACTTGTCTCTTCGTGAACCCTTTGATAGTTTGCCTCCACAAACTACTGGGACAACAATGAATTACAGAAATTTGTTATCTGATATTTAAAGTAGTACTTCCTCTTATTTATTTTGGAAAAAAAAAATCTAACTATTTCATTGTGTGCCTGCTGGTCCTGTTACTGTGGGATGTGGTGAATAAGTTCTGCATCCTGCTTAATGTAGCACAACTGAATTTGTAAAACTTGATTGTGTCCCTTAGTCTTTTCTCCTCCAAACTAAGGGGGCCCCAGTTTTTCAATACCAAATTTAAATATCTGCTGAGCCTGAAAAAAAGTGTATTAATATCCTGTATTTTCATAAGTTGTGAAGTTTTGATTAAGATTCTTGTAGTATTAATCACCGTTCTAAAGCATCTAAAATTTACCCAACTATCACTCCTCCTTGAATAAGGAGAAAAATATCTTGAAAATTATCTTTTCCATCTTTCCTGGATAGTAGGTTATATTTAATCATTTTTATTATGTTATCACCATCGTTTTTATTATGTTATCACTAAGACTTTTTCAAATCTTAAGTGTAGATTATAAGAGCAATATAATGCCTATTAAGTACTTGGTTGTGTGTGTGTTTGGTTTTTTGTTAGTTTGTTTTTATACAGACTAATTACTGTGCGTGTGCAGGGAGCAATTATTTAAGTCTTCCTCATTTTCTGCTAGGAACTTCTTTCAGTCTGCCTGTGATGTTCCTGAACCAGAGGAGAAATTCAATATTGATGAATACTCAGACATGGTGACCCTTAGCAAACCTGTCATATATATTTCCATTGAAGAAATTATCAATACCCATTCAGTAAGTTGATGAAAATATTTATCCATGGTTTAAAATGTATGTTCTGTTAAATATTGCCCCCCCCCCCAAAAAAAAAGAATTCTAATGAAAGCTTGAATTTTGTTCTGTTTCTTTAGAAATAATTTCTTCAGTTTAATCTCTGAATTGCTAGGGAACTGTGTTAGCTTGCTTCTTTCCATGCTTCTGTAGTCTTGAAGCAATGGAAATATAATCTTTTATGGTAGGAGGAATAGTCATTTTGTTATGTGCCCTTTTAAGTTATTTCTGTTTATAAATACTTTCCTCTCTTCTTTAAGAAAGTGAGACTAATTTGAAGATGTTCTTTTGACTGTGGGAAAAGAGGAAAACTTGGTGCATTTTATGACTTTGGCATTCTGTCATCTGTTGTGTTGGAAGCAGATGCAAGACTGATTTAGAGAGACTGAGCCAGCGGCATCCTGCCAGTTCTTTCTTCTGTGTAAAGAAAAGATTAGCTGCAGTCTGCAGGATGACTCATTAGGGTGTAGAATAGATACCTACCACATGGTCCTCCTAAAAAGCTAGGATGTTAGCTATCTCTTAACTTGCAACCTCCTCTTTCTTGCCTTGTCATCTTAGATGTACTCTGGAAAATGTAAAACACTCAACTTCAGTACTCCAGATCACAGATGAATTATATTCAAATGTAAACTAAGAACTTAGAAATACACTTTTTATTGGACTATGTGCCTCTTGTTGCATTTAGTTTTTTAATGCATAGAGATTTCTGCAGCTTTTCAACCAGTAATTACATTTAAGCACCAATTGAGTTCAGTAGTTCTTTTAGTAGGGCTCTTGCATCCCTTGTGTTCTTTGAGACAAATGAGAAAAACTATCTTATTTTATATTAGCTGATAACAGTCTAAAAATATGAAATAATTTAATGAAAGTAAATTGCCAAAGTAGGAGATCAAGGAAATGGTCTTTTCTGACAACATCACTGCTAATCACTTGCATTTCCCAGGGAAGGGTGTTTAGGTCTAAAGTCTGTACACTGTCTACATGCAACATATGTAGCACCATATTCTTGTTTCATAATACCGCTCCCACAAAAATTCCTGTGGGAGTCTGAGCCTTCATCTTCTATTCTTCTCCATTTTATCTTTCTTGCCAATATAAATTCAATCTTCTATTCAGTTCTTAAAATTTAGAAAAGGAGATCCATGAATCGCTTGTCCTTTGTAATTTCTAGCTCAACTTAAGGAGAATTCTTAAACTTTTCCTCTGCAATGCTCACTTCTGTCTTGTAATCAGGTCTGAAATGCTAGTATGTCATGGTTTGCTGGACGTGGGCTTTTAGTTGTGCTGGTAAGCAGTAAATTTTGTCTAAATACAGCCTTGCAGTGTTTAAAATGCTGTGGTTTTCTGGTATTTTTGGCTACAGTGTAGGCTTTGCTCTGCTTAAACTTCATTGAAGCCCATGGATATTATGCCCTTCTGTCAGACTTGCAGGTAAGGAATAGTTGTCCAACTATGGGGAATGGACAATCAAATCTAGCATTCAGTAATACTGCTGGCTGTATCTGAGGTCTTTTTTCTCACTAACAACGAAAGGATGTTTATAAGGCAGTACTACTTCCCCATTCGTGACCTAATTTGGCTCACCAGTCTTTTTATGGCTTCAAAAAAAACTGGGGAACATGCCCAGTATATTTGTGAGCATACTCACAATTCCTGTAACTTCCTTTAGAAACTGCCTAGCAGTAGGTGCTGCATAACTGGTTTCTCACTTTCAAATGGAAAGAGTCATTTGTAGAGGGTACTGCTTCCAATGCTGGAGCTCAGGAAAGCTACTGGAATGGATATACAGAAAAAAGGGGCATTTTCTGTGTCTCCCTGATGCTTCATTCCTTTGTCTGCTGAGCCCTGGGTGCAGCATTATGATGCTGGGCTTTACTTCTTAGCTCGTTGTTATTTCTGAGGGCCAGTCTTTAAACTTCTGCTCGGCTGTGACAGGCTTCCACAGCAAAGGTGACAAGCTGCCTTGCAGCTGAAACAATTCTACGTCTCTGGTCTAGAACAAAATGTGATATTTTTTATTATTTTCTTTTTTCTTTCTCTCCTTCTCTTTGGGTCCTCTATAATCTGTGATTATTCAGCATTTAGTTTCAGATTTACAAATATGAAGAATTCAGGTATGTTTTCAGATGCTGACCTCGTTTACATTTGTTTATAGCTACTGTTAGAACACCAGGATGCCATTGCCACTGAGCCCAATGACCTGCTGAATGAATTGTTGGAAGGGCTAGGGCCTGTTCCTGATGTGGAGTCTTTTCTTGGTATGTTGTTCATCTTCACGGCTAGCTTTACTCGCGGGGTATAATCAAATGGGGACTGAATTACAATACTACAGGATACATACTCCCATGTTAATAGCCTCTTCATGTACTATGGAATTATTCTCTGAATTTTTTATTGCATCTTTTTCATTGCTGGATTGCTATAGATAGAAATCATTTCAGAGTTATTAATAAATAAATAAATAAGTAGCAGCAGTGTTTGACAGCATCTTCGAGATGTGAAGGGTTCTAATTGCAATGTTCCATCTATGGATAGTGATGTGCTGCAAAATTGTAGTACTGTTTCTGGCAGAACAATCTAGTTATCACTAACTCTGCAAATGTAGTATCTTAACTCAAGGTCACGTTATTAATGTTAGCGCTGGCTTTGCAGCAAGAACTCACAAACTTAAACTTAATACTTACAAGAACAGCCCCGAGAAGTTTTAAAAGAGCAGTTTACATTGAGAATTATCCAAATAACTTTTTTTGAAAAACCTTTTTTATAAGGAGCAACTATATCTGAAAATTAATCTGCTTTAAGTGCATTAGGATGGAAGGTGAATTCCTGGCTTAGAAGGACAGTGTGGATATTACCAGAATCCAAGTGAATTGCCTATTACCATAGCTACTACCCTTTCATTTTTCATTATTACCACATTAGGACCAAGGATGTTAAATTGCTGGTATTTTTTTTGAAAAAACAACAACAACAAAAGTCTTGCAGATCAGTACCTTGAAAATGAAGAATTGCTGACATTTTAAGCATTTCAAAAATATTCTAATGTGTCAGATGGCTTATAGTTTTCACTGCTCCAATGTCCAGTAGAATAATTGCTTCTAAATAATAGAAATGGGTAGGCTATTTAAAAAAAAATGTGATGAGAGAAATTGCTTTTTATGTCTCCATTAATGCTCTATTTCCTGCACTGATGCCTGAGGAATACACTGAAATGAAGAAAGAGATGTGTTTCTTCCTTACAGGGGAAGGAGCTGTTGATCCCAATGACCCCAACAGGGAAAGCACACTGAATCAGCTAGCAAAAACAGAGATTTCACTGTCTCTAACCAGCAAATATGAGTTACGTGAAGGTGAAGATCAGGATCTCAAAAGCCTGATGATAAAGTAAGTTTTCCTCAAACCTTCTTGGTGGTGTTGTCAAAAACAAGATGTTTTCAATTTGCATCCCTGTTTTTTTTCCTCTTTTCCATGAGTACACTTAGCTTTCAAAGACCAGCAAGAGTTCAGTTCTACTCAAACTTTTTCAAAAGTCAGAAAAACTGTCAGTCTTTCAGAATGTTTATCTACCCATGAGCTTATTGCCATTTTTGTTTTGTACAATGACTAGATCATTCTTTAACCTACTGTGTGCCCTTCCTTGAAACTGTAAAAGCATTCTGTTTTGAAGCATTGGAAAGGGGAAATTCTGCCTATGCTTGTAAGGGGTAGAGCGAATGAAACTGCTCTGCTGTCCGTCAGATGAAAACATTTCCCTGATCTCACACGTTTGAACAGGATGTGACTGTCACTGCAGCTTGAATAATACATGCCTGTGCAGGGAAAGGAAAGACTGTTTATTTTACTCATTTTAGTCAGATTGAGAAACAAGTACCAGGATAAACACAGGCTATAGGTCAATCTTTGATAAATTTAGTATCGAATTAATGGCATCTTTTAAAAATTAAAATTATCCAGGATAAGAATCCGTTTAAGATCCTCATGCCCTTTGAACAGGCATGAATTCCCTTGTATTACTTCACTTTTTCTTACCCTGATAGTGTGAATGCTAAAAGATAACTTTAAGACCCTGAGAGCATAAATACAGGCCTTAACCTGTTGATATATTTTTCTAAAGCAAAATACAATACAGTGAATTTATTGTGTAATATGTGAAGTTTTACTACTGAAACAAGTTATCAACTTCCAGGGCTACAGTGCAATTTGTATAACTCAGCTATAAATGACTGTTCAAAGCTTTTTGGGGAAAGAAATCTCATCTTAAGTACTAAAAGCTTAATATTTAGCTTAACAAGAAAAGTTTTTTCCATTGTTATGCACAGTCGATCTACATCCAACTTGTGTGTTTTTTGAAGAGGGGAGAAGAACTTTAAAACATAATATGAACTACCAAAACTGCAATGAAAATGTCAAATTGAAACTGAATTATGTTGCTTGGGAGTCAGGAGAGAAGGGCTCTAGAGTTTTTCCAAAATGTTTTTGCAATAGGAATATGTCCACAGTTGTCCCTTTATATTATAAAGAATTTTTGCTTCCTGTCTCTTTTTTTCTGTGTAGGATAAAAATGTTAACCTTTAATGGCATCCCTAAAAATGTGCTATCAAAGCTAAAAGGAAATGCTTCTAATCCTTTACACTGTTGTGTAATGTGTCAAAATAGTATGAGAATTAAAAGAATTCAGCTTCTCTATTGCATAAGTATTTATAAAATGTGTATAAATTTGGTAAAGATTACTGGGAGGTGATCTGGGATTAGAATAATTATTAACAATGTGGTGAATTGCAGCAATGCCAAAAGATAGAGTAACTTATAGCTACATTTTATGCACAAGGTGTACATATGGATATTCTAGCTTTTCTGCTTTAATTATATGGAAGTCTTTTTTGCAACTATCAAATGCCATGTACCTAGATAAAATTCATCTTGTAGCTGATTTCGCAGCATATTCGGTTTCTGTATATATGACACCTTTTACAGAAAGGGTTTACTTTCAGATGATTTTGTTGATTAAGCCTTCTCTGAACCCTAATATATGTAGGTACCACTCTAACAAACTGTGCACAAGGTGACTAGTGTGTGTGGCTTGAATCACATGCCAGGTGATTCACAGGTATGATGTGAATGGGGAGGAGTTTAGGCTGAAGTGTGTGGCATCCTGCCTGGGAAACAACAAGGCTGAGCCTCGGAAGGGGGAAGGAGGATTTGAAGGGAGAGGAAGTAGATGCACAATTCATTATGTATATCAGCATAACATTAAATGTATGTTTCTAAAACTGTATGTAAATACTCACACACACTGAGAACTGGTGGTGACCAACAAAGACTGAAGAAGATTTCTTTAGAAAGACAGAAATTTGTTGCTTTAGTCAAGGTGAATTAACTTCATGGATTTTTTTTTTCTGGGAAACTGGACCAAATTCCAAAAAAAATCTTGAGGGGAAAAATGCAGCAATCTCTAAACTATTCATGTGTCAAAACTGCACTTACCAGTGCAGTTTCCAGAGCTCTGGTTGAACAAGCCAGGAGGTAAACCATGTTACCATTTAACAGAGAAACTCTGCTTCAGTTCTACCTATGCTTTCAAAGTGATTCCTACAGTTTTCCTATGAAAGCTGGGATCAAACTCAAAGACCCTTAATAGAATGTTTACTCATTAAGTTGTTTGTGTATGAACAAAACCTATGTTCTGTCTCATGGTGGTTTTGTGAGAGTTTCTAGTTTTGAAAACAAACAAACAACCCTTTACCTAGGTAAATGATTATTTTGAACAAAATCATGAGGTTTTATAATGATCTTAACTATGCTTAAATATTTTTCTCAAACACTGAAGTGTTGCATCTTCAGGTTTCTGTTGATCTGTTCAGAACAATGGGTCGCAAGTCAAAAGAGCTCTATCTGGTTCGTAACAGTGTCCTCTAAATAGAAGTCTAACAGGATGT